AGCAACAGAAGGGCGCCCTGTACGTTGGGCACGAAGTATAGGAAACTTGCATGGTTAAAAAGAAGGGCGCCGCCTACGTTGGGCACGACTTCCGCCTCATTTTTACAATGCGAGAACTCTATCTTGTATTTCTAGTATCTTTGTTATATCTCTATGGGTTTGGATGGTTTATGAGCTACATTTTTCAACCGTGGCTTATGCATTATTCATAAGTGTTTAGCGAATTGAGGGCAATGTACAAATAGCTGAGAAATGGAGCACAGTACTGCCGTTACTATACTACTTTATCAATAAATTATGATATATGTCATGTATTTGTGGCCTGTCGAACCCTGGTAGTAAGCTTGGAAATTTAAGGTAATGATTCAAATAGGAATTATCTATAGTTTAGGCTTATGCGTTGCGCCTTTGATCTTGTTTGGAATCTGTCTCTTATACACATCTAGATGTGTATAAGAGACAGCTCAGAAGTTGTTCTGTAGACGTTTATCCGTTGATGACCTTTTGACCTCCTGAATTCTGCAATGAGATTTTCGGGTCGATTCAGCCGAGACGGCCCGAGTGGAGTTTCATGTAAATGTTTCGTACGGAAAAAAAAATCGCCGTCGGTCAAGGTTCAAAAGTTTCCATTTTAGCAAGAGGGCGCCATTCATGCGCTATTATACCAAAGAGAAAAAGTAATCAGCTTTGGAAGAGGGCGTCCTATCTGTTGCCATGGATCTGAGATGGTTCCTGTACTGCTGTTCACAGGATTGATACCCTAATGGTAAAGTCGAGCGGTCAAGGGTCAAAAGTTTCCAATTTAGCAAGAGGGCGCCATTCATGCCTTATTACAGAATTTGCACGCGTAAATCGCGGAGAACGCTATCTTGTGTTTATAAGATCTTTGTTTTATACTTACTGAGTTCATAGCGGGCTGAGGAAAGAAACGGTGACATTCGTCGTGACCGTTTCTTCAGGAAATTACCCTAAGTTCCTCCAAATTTCTTATTGTTTACTGTTATATCGGTTTTTTAAATTAGTGTAAATGTCATAATGATCTCGATAGTGAATAAGTTTACTTTAAGATCATCCACTTACTTGTTTTTACTGTTATTTTGTATGTTTCCTAGAAATATTAAATGAAACGATAATAGAACAGAAGGCAAAATATGTTTCGGTTTATTTGTACGTGTAAAAACAAGATGTCTGTTTGTAATGGCATAATACCAACATGTGTAGGTCTACCTTGCAACGTCACAATAGTAAATTTAGACAATAATGAACAAAGTACATTTGATTGAAAATATGTTTCGGTTTATTTGTACGTGTAAAAACAAGACGTCTGTTTGTAATGGCATAATACCAACATATGTAAATTCAGACAATAATGAACAAAGTACATTTGATTGATATTCATTGTAAAAAAACAAAACTTTATTTAATGTCATAATCTAAATTTCAGAACATTCCGTCTTGTAAACGTGAGTTGTGAAACATAGGAACAATGCCATGTGATATGAGGTTAAATGTGCGTAACTTAAACTAATTACTCCAAATATTCATAATATTACAGTACAGCTAACATATATCATTATAATTTTTTTTTTTTTTTTTTTTTTTTTTTTTA